TGACGCTTCTTGAGTCTTGTTGAAGCAGGCATTGCCCTATTTCAAATTGACTTGGGCCGCAATCAATCAACGTAAAGTAGTGTTGCCCACCATAATGCGTAATATCCATTCCCAAGCGGGTCCAGATTCCAGTCACACTTAGGTTGCCACATGGCCAACGACATGAGGCTGGGTCAATTGATTGGCATTCTTTACATTTTCTGACCACTGCCTTGGATGTCATAGGATAAACTCATCTCACAATATACAGCGTCCACCTAATGCCAGGATGTCCACTCTGGCAATGTATGGCAATCTGATCCAGAGAGGTTTCGTTCACCATGGAAACACATACGGGGGATGCTGGTTTGACCTCCTTCTTGATCACATCATACCATCTTTCCAGTACTTGTGAGCTTATCTGCTCAATTCTCACTCAACATTACTAAACTTATCATGATCAATAAGTTATACTCTTGGATCAGCTTTTCAAGAATACTCAAACGCCACTGGATCAGCATCTCACTTGCTGCCATAGTTCATATTCTGGCTTTGCCAGTGAGCATGTTTGATATCCACCAATACACACATGTGGAGTCAGTGAAGAGGTGTAGCTCCGTTGTGCCTCACTGTAGTCCTAAATTGACGCCCTTCAGAATAGCATCCAATTCTGATAAATTGATATGTTGTGCATCCTTCACAGGCTGCAGCCAACATGCATCCTCTACAATGCTTCCGTCAACCTCCAACAAAACCCGTGGTAAGAGAACCTGCATCGACCCACACCTCATGTGTGTCTACTGGTACACCACTTACATGTGCAGGGTCATTCTGGCGTATTCTTTTCACTATGTCCTTAATCATGTTCTTAAGGGGAGCATCTGTCACTTCATTGTCTAAGCCAGACATGATCAATACTGTTCTGTGTTTAACAAATGATGCAGCAACACGAAGCCAATCATACACAAGGACATGATCCACTAGTTTTCCACACCATGAGAAGACATTACATCGCATCAGGACCTCAGGAACTGATGGAATATCATTTTCACATTTCCACTTAAGCATGTTGTTATCCTGCTCAACATGCAAACCCACCACACATATGCTGTCCCACAAACGCTCTGGATCCTTGTAGGTCAAACCAAATGCAGCCAAATGCTCTTTCACGCGAGCTGCTGAAATCATGCTCTTGTCAACATAAATATCATCAATATATAATGAGGTTGCTCGTCAAATTGACACATCTTTTGATAACGCGGCATCCACAATGGACTTAATTATGGCTAGCACAACATTCAACCCGAAACCCATTTGTGTCAAGCAATATCTTCGCCCCTTGAAAATTACAGTTTGAAAGGGCCAAAGTGACATATGGATATGCACTTGTAGAGAGGCCTGCCGTAGGTCACGGATAGCAACATCAGGTCCTTTTTTTTTTTACGCCACTCCCTTTTTCTGTGTGCATATGTCATCATTGGCTGTGTGTGCATCTAGACACTCATTCAGCTCTCGATAGTCTAATACTGGCTGCACTTTATTTTTGTTTTTCTGAACCAGAATTAACAGAAATAAACCTTTTGGAGGACTAAGTTCCTTTTCAGGATAAGGCCGCAACCAACCGTTATCAAGCTAGGTCTGCAGCTCATGGTTGTATTCCTCCTTGACCCTGTTGGTATTGGGTACTCGGGCATCCTGTTTTGCAAACTCTCCGGTGATTGACCATTTGACCACTTCTACGATGTGATCCATCTCTTTTTGCTTGGGTCAAATTCAGCACAGAAATCAGGTTCTTCTATTTTAATGGCGGAGCAACAAACCATCCCATGCTTGTTAAACCGTACACCACCACACTCTGTTATTTGGAGTCTGTCCAGCTTTTTAATGGAGTCGAACACATGCAACAAGTCAAAACCCAGTAGCTCTCCATCCACTACCAAGACTTCGACGTTGAGGGGGTTTGCATTGTCCACATCAAGCTTAATACTTCCAACTCTGTGACATTTGAGGGTATTTCCATTTATGGTGAGTACATTCACCTTCATCTCCTACCAGGATTGACAAGCTGACTTACTCACGAGTGTCTGTGAGCAGTCCGTGTCTACAAGTGCCACTCTCTTAACTCCATTCACGTGAACATTTTTAACAATGAAGCAATGTGGCCTAATCCTCGACACCAGAAGCAACGCATTGTTGCACGTGACCTGCATGGCTGACTGGCATCTTTTCGTTGAACTAGACAGTCCCTAGAAATGTGATTCCACCCAGATCATCAATAGCATTGTATACCCTCTCGACATCTAACATTTAGAAGTTTATCAGCTCCACCTAGTGAAATGCTAGCCACAACCATTTTCTCAGTTACAGCTGGATCTTTCATTACGACCTGAACTCAGTCCAACAGTCTTCAATCCTGGAAGACATGCGCAGTAGTTGCTTGATGTGCGCTGGTAAGCCTGCTATGAATGCACATGCTAACCCTTGCTCGGATATCCTGCCAAACAGACCTCCTAACCTCCTAGCTTCTTCAAATCAGCTAGAAACACATTGACGGACTCATCCAGGCACAGTCGCGTTCCACGAACTTCTCGTAAGCTAAGAAATGATCCGGCACAAAGGCAATCCACAGGGCTCGTTTTATTTTTGAATTCTGCTTTTTGCTCTGAACTTAACTGCTGGTAAACAATAAATGCTCTGCCCATCAACCTGAAGGGAAGAACACATCCAACCTTGTTAATTCCACACAGGTCACAAACAAGTTCTGCCTTCTCAATCTATTCAGTAACTGCTTGTCTGGTCCCTGATACCATCAAACTCAGGTATCAACTTGACGTCAATTGTCCTGTCCGCCATGGTGCTGAAATAGCTTGAAAGAGTTCTTAGATAGCAAAGGAAAATAGCTGTCGCAGATTACTTCCACAACAAAGAGAACAAATCACTGTAAGGTAAGACTCAAAGATCAGGGGCAGAAAGAAATATCAAAATCTCGATTTGCAGGTACTATGTCACAAATCCCAATGCATGTAACCAGTCAGAAAAATAACTTGACTGCTGTGGACTCTAAATACAAAAATTTTGACTTTTTATCTCACTGATTCAAGTACACCAACTGCTTTTATCGACCGAGCATTTTTTTCATTTGTTGACAACTGAGAGAGAACGCACAATATTAGCATATCAAATATTTTTATGGTGACTTCTGTGACTGACTTGTTTCTAATTTGAATATACCATCTTCAGCATATCATGCAGAATACATGCCCTTTTTTTTCTGCAAGTAACTTTCTTTTTCATCATGGTTTCCGCCATAGGATACACGCAACACACTGTTGCTTGGTTTGGCGAGGTAATTCGCTGTTTTCTTCACTATAGCTAGGTAACCTTGACATACTTGGGAAGGATATAAAAATAATCCAGAACCTATACTGGCCAAAAATTGCCTGCATATGGATGGAAAATGAGTTCAGCAAATATACAAATAGAAATACATACAATATACAATAGAAAGGGGTGTAAGGATGTGTCTTCTCACAACATATTTAAGCTATACAGTGAGGCAATTCTGAAATTATTGGTTAAGCTTAACAACATAAGACATGAAGATGACAGTGTTAATAGTAGACAGGGAAAGGAACCTACAAGAACTCTTACAGAAGGTAGTAAAAGAAAATGAGAAGAAAGGGCTAAACATAAATTGTAAGAAGATGGAATGCATAGTTGTTAGCAAAAGGAACAGCCCAACATGCAAATTACAAATTGGAGATACTGAAATCAAACAATTACAATATCTGGGAAGTATTTTTTAACAAAGTGTGTTCAACTGCCTGGTTTTCACACATCTGCATGTTGAGAGCACTCTCTCTCAACTGAGAAAAAAAAATTGGTGTTATATAGCTCTCCAAGTCCCAGAGCCACGTTGACTATGGGATGGCTAATACCTACCCAGTATTGTTCATATGCAAATAGTGCCACACACTCTAAGTAGAAGGTCTTCTCTCAACAGCTCCATGTGAAAGAGAATGTAACTCCTGGTGCTTTCAGCACCACATGCAATTAATGAGTCTTTTGTTGGGTTACCATTTAAACCCAATTCTCTGTTACACAGAGGATAGAAAATGCAACACTGAATGAAATGGAAATACAAAGGCACATTGGGATAGCAAAAATGCCTGTGAAAAGAGTTAAGCAAAGTGTTAAGAAACAGAAAAATTTTGTTAGAAACAAAGAAAAAGATTACTGAAATATTATGTAATAATATCAGTGAATGCTAGATAATCCCCTGATAGATGAAGAAGGGATTTGAATCAACAGAAATGTGGTTCTACAGAAGGATGCTTAGAATACTGTCGACCGAAATGCGAGCAACGACGAAGTTTTAGAAAAAATGGAAATAAAAAAGGACACATAATAATTAGCATCAACAGACCGTTGAAATTTCTAGGGCACATAATGAAGAAGGAGGGCTTGAAAAATTTAATACTCACAGGACAGGTTGAAAGCACGATGAACAGAGTAAAACAAGCTTGATTAAAAAAAAATTGGACGGTAGAGCAAGGTTTAGAGAGGAGAAATAACAAAAAGCCAAAATCTAAGACCTACAAAGACAGGTCAGGAAATTATGTGCACAGAGCCATGATCGCCTACGTACTAAAGTTTAAATTTAAAGAGACATGGCACACAGAAGAAGGTTTTATTAATTCTTTTCTCTTTTATTTTATTTTTAAAAATAAAAGTTTCATTCTGATTTTTGACACCAATGTTTTTTTTTTATTGTTGTTGCCGTCGTCATCAGCTACAAAAAACATTCTTAAAATTTAATTCAAATCACGGTTAAAGTAAAATTCAAATGTAAAAAATAAATTTGATGGTTAATTAAAAATTTAATTAGCAGTAGAAGGAAAGGGTTTTTAATTTAATTTTTTTTTTTTCAAGACATTTTTAACTCATTATTAAAAAAAAATCAAAATCATTTCCAAAAGCCTTTATCACATATATATAAAAAGAACAAAAAATGAGGTAACCTTTCAGATTTTTAGGAAATGATTTATCAAGACAAGACGAAATATGACTGAACCACTTCTTTTTAATGTTGTGCTGCTGATTATTGAAAAAAAAATAGCAGACGAAATTTGACAAACTGGACAATAAGCTGTGATGTTTGTTTTCATTAAGTTTTTTTTGCTCGATATTTTTCTGGTGAAATCGAAGACTCATTTGTTAAGTTCTTATTAGTGCGAGTTTTGGTGATATTCTTAGTGTTGGTTTTCTTTTGTGTCTGATTTGATTTTTCGAAATGGAAGAATAAGATCCACACGACGTTGTTTCTTGCTGAGAGGAAGGAATATTTTTAACACCTTCATTTTTTCTTGATTTTATTGGATCTAATACATCTTTCAATTCTGATGAACTGCTCTCATCATTTTGGGTTGTTGAGCAAAATTGAAATCCATGAGATTTTAAAGTATTACATTGTCGTTGTTGAATAGGAAGATTTTTTATGGATGTTGTTGTACATACGACTCTCCTTTGACGTTTAAGAGGTTTGTAACTCCATATATCGTCCAGGTCGCAATCTGATACATTCATTTTTTGTACTTCAGACAATCGTTATATTCATAAGTTAGCTTAAATCTACACCGCACATGATTTCATGAAAATTACGAAAAAAATATCAATAAACGAAAGCTTAGAATAGTTTGGACAGTTCTCTATAAAAAGCGCGCGAAAACGTTACGAAAATATATCTAATCCCAAAACACTCATCTGTAAACTTCTCTATGTAAATTCTTTGATGGCGATTTAATAAAAATATTATTTTTATTATTATATGAGGGCTTCAGAAATTTAAAAAAAAAGGTTAATTTCAAAAATTTGGGGAAAATACGAAACTTTAAGGCCAAGCTAAGTAAGATGTGTGCGGTTTAAAAACAGATTTTCTCTGCCTGCAAAAAAAAAAAAAAAAAAGAAGATATGACTATTAATTTAATATTTGATAGCAATGACCAGACCATTTTCTTATATTATTTCAAATAGAAAAAAAAATACCCGAAAAAAAGCGGACATATCCAAAATCTTCGGTTCTATACATTTGTTCAGGTTTAAAAAGAGGATGAAAAAATGCTTTAAAAAAACAAGCAGAATTAAGAATAGTTTTAGAAATTTTTTTAAAAATATTGCTTACAAAATGCTTTGTTTTTAATTCCAAAGAGTCAAAATGAATACTTACTAGTATGTGAACATAACTTTTTATTTTAATTTATAATTTTCATTTATTAGTTGAGTGTCCTGGATCATTGTGGCCCTGTGCTAGAAAGTAAGCCAAATTTAGTTCGCAACTCGCGAATATATTTGAAGTCAAGTATTGTTGCTTTTACCTCCAAACATTGACTAAAAAAGAGGGTACATGATAAAATGACTAAAAAGGAATAAAGTGAACCCTAAAATTTAAAAACAAAATTTTAGCGCCAAAATCATTCTATTTTTTATTATTAAGAAGAAAGATCAAAGGATTTTTTATGGATATTTAAAATTATTCTTTTAAAACCGTGGAAATTTGTGTTAAAATCAAATCCTGTTGTTTTTTGTTTTGTTTTGTTTTTTTTTTTGCAGGGGCATCAACGCGATACCTTAGGGAAATTTATTTGAGCGATTTTACGGTGAATAACATAAAATCAGGTAGTTGTTGAATTTTAACTGAAACTTTCGGAACTTATTTATTTATTTTAGAAATTAATTTTTTTAAAACGTTTCTTTTTTAGAAACTTCTTTTTTACATTTATTACCTTCCTTCTTCTTATTTATTTAACTTTTATGAAATTCATATAAATACTCTTTAGTCTTTTGTATTTATTTTTCAATTTACATTTTTTTACAATTATGAATGTTTTTAGAGAGAATTTAAAAATCATCAAAATCTTTTAGTTTTACTGTTTTGTCAAACAGGATCCCCAGTTTGAAAAATCTGCTCTGAATCGTAAAATAAAATGCAATAGAACTAAGACATTTTATTTATTTAATTAATTGGAGAAGAAGATTATAATAAATTTTTTTACGAATAAAATATAGCATTTATGGACACTTGTCTTATTTTTACAAGAATTATTTTCATTACTGGGTAGTTAAAAAAAAATATGAAAAAGAGTAAGACGTTCACGTTATATTTGAAATGTAATTTTTCTAGATATTGTCCCCTTTAGCAACTTAGTTCAATTTCCAAAACATCGGGTTGCCAATAATACATCAAAAAACAGCCACTGTAAAAAAGATACTTTTCTGCGATATTTTTTTAAAAGTAAGTAATATTTGTTTCAATTCAGATTAACTGAACTTTAGATTAGCTAATTTTTCTAATGTTTCAGAAAAGTATAATTTCTTTTTGAAAGATTTTTTTTAAAAGAATTATGTTGACAAATATGTCAATAATATGATCAAATTTATCGATTTTATTGTTAAGTAGAAAAAACAAATAGTCGAATCACTTTTCATTTTTTAAAATGCATTTTATTTTTAAACTTTATCACTTTTATTTGGAGGTACCTATATGGAATTAACACATTAATTCCATTTATATTTTTACGCGCGCGCGAGTTTCCTCCCTTCCTTTCACACTCGTGCGTGTGTGCGCGCGTGTTTTCACCCCTACCTTTCACTCACAGATAAACATAGCAGTAACCTACTTTGAGCTCCTACTGATTTGGACTCATAACAGATTTTGAATTTTCCCGCGCGTTTCGCGGCGTTTCAAACGGCCAGCGTTTGCAAGCCAGTTGCCTCTCGACTTTCGACCCGACTAGATGGGCAACTCATTTATTCCGTGCCCTTAACCCATATGCGGGCCGGAATATCTTATTTCAACAATGTCGACTGCACCCTCTACCAAGACTTTTTCTCCTTTTGAAGCTGCCAACAGGTCGGACCTTTTTCTCCGTTTTCTACCAGAAGATGTTTTAGAGATACGCGACACTGTCGCGAGCAAAAGTTCGTATTCAACTAATGGCGTATTTTTTATCCCTCGTCAGGGGCCTAATAAGTATAGGCAGGGATGTCCTACTGAACGAACAAATTGCTAATCACAGGTCAGGACCTTTTTCTCCGTTTTCTACCAGAAGACGTTTTTAGAGACACACGACACTGTCGTCGGCAGAAACTTCGTGTTCAACAGGTGACTTAAACTTACCTCTGGCTTCGAACCAAATAATACAGGCAGGGATAGTATTACCTTTGAACAAAAACATTTTTCGTCTTTCTCTTTGGGCTCGCCGTAAACCATTCTACAAGACCATGCTTCGTTTCTCCCGGCTAGATGCCCACAGCAGTCCAGAGCATTTACCAGCGGCCAATTCAATGTTTCACCAAAAAAAAAAACTCTGAGACGACCGGACATTCTTTATAACTTTGAACCTGTACATTAAAAATATGCATAATCACTTACAACTTAAAATATCCACAGTGAGTACTCCTTTCTATCTGTGCGCACCTTCTTTTTCCGGAACTGTATAAAACTATCTTTTCCCGCCTTTGGCCATCTTGTATTTCTATTTTGGCGCGGAACATTTTTCATTGATCCCGACCTTGGGATGAGTTACGTGTTACTGTTTGATTAAAGTTTACTCATGTTTTTATAAACAGATGTCTTTGGCATTTTTATTCCGGCTATCATAATATATTTTATTTTATGCACTTGTTGATTGACCCCTTTCCTCTTATTGTTCATTCACGCACTCATTTTTATCTTTTTACTTTGCTTGTAGACTCGGTAGTTTAGTGTGGTGTCTGGCACAAGGCCACTTAGTAATAAACCAGCACTGCACGCTGCCGGGTCTGCAACACCTATAATTTCTTGTTTCAGATCCTGCAACTAATCTCCTGAGCATAGGAAAGAAAATGATTTTTATGAAATTCAGAGCCAAAGACTTGAATAAAGGAGTGATGGATATCAAAAAGAAAATATTTGTATATTCAGAAATCCTTTAATGCTAATGCAGTTGATATAGATGTGCATTTCAGAAAAGTTTTTAATTGAATGTCTATATACACATTCTACAACAATTACAACAAAGCTGTTTCATTTAAATAAAAATAAGATAATATGATCAAATTTGTCTTAATTATATTGACTTTAAATTAAAGCCTTTAATTTTTCAATAAGTTGACTTCCTATCTGAGATTAATTAACAGCTCCCTATTGTGTGGAGTTATAGTGGGTTATCAGTTATAGTGAAGTGTATGAGTGTTGAAACATTAGTTTGATTTTGTAGCAGTTGTTTACATACACCACGCCCACAAAATACTCAAATACCATTGGATAGAAAATAAGCACTATTTTCTATAGGACAATTTATGCATCGCATGAGCCACATCAAATTTTCTGATGTTTACTTTGCCAAACCTGGTTTAGAAAAAAATCAGTGATTGGTTGATTTTTTGACCAATAATATAATATAACACTCTTTTCAATATTTTTCCTGCTCTCATTCCTAGAACCTATTCAGAAAGTATAAATAACATGAAAATCAAAGAAAAGAACAGTAGTAGAACAGTAAATCTCCAGAGCTCAACCACGTACGTGAATTCTCATCCTTTTACCCACATACACAGACACAAAATTACAATTGCACTACGCTGTGAACTGTCTGTCCAAAAAGCCAAGTAACCAACTCTGAATTCTATCATTCTTTTGTACAACTTTCTCATACTTAAACTCAATTATCACATATTGCTGAACTCTGAACATTTTAAACAAGAAAGTTCTTTTAACACATATTTACAATCTCACATTAGTACAAGGGGAACTACTTCCTCTTTCTTAACTTTGTTTCACCAAACAATTGTTGTACTCGCATGTTTTCAATACATTATTGTTGATTACTGAATAATCTCTTGTTATTCCTTCTTTGTGTTTCTTTGTAAAATTTAAATGTGATGCGCTAATCAAAAACGCAACCTTCACCAAAGCCTTCTTGACTTCAATTTTATACCAAATCTCATTAGCACGCCACAATTTTGCCTTGTTAGATAGCCCACCATAAGACGGGTATAAAACAAGTAAATCAAATTGTAAAGTGAAACAACAAATTTATATACATATAAATCAATTA